ATCACTGATCTTTTCTCTATCCCTACAGTTTTTTCTTTTCCATAATGTCCTATCAGTGAAGTCATGCAGTTGCAGGGTCTGGCTCCGGAGCTGTCAGATGCATTTGTGAATGACTCATGCTGTTGTGCACAGCAATGGTTCACTCCTTTCTATTGCTGAGTAGCACATGATATGGATGTGCTACTAATTGTTTATTCATTCACTGGTTGAAGGACGTTTTGGCTGTTTCTGGTTTGGGCCAATTGTGAATAAAGCTGCTATAAACACTTACCAACAGATTTTTCTGTAAACCTCTTTAATGTTATTTTTTGAGACAAGGGCTCATTTTGTCACCCAGGCTGGAGTGCAGTGGTGTAATCACAGCTCACTGCAGCCTCAACCTCCTGGGCTCAAGTGATCCTCCCACCACAGTCTCCCAAGTAGCTGGGACTACCGGTGCATGCCAGCACACATGGCTAATTTCCTCCCTCCCTCCCTTCCTCCCTCCCTCCGGTGCATGCCAGCACACATAGCTAATTTCCTCCCTCCCTCCCTCCGTTCCTCCCTCCCTCCCTCCCTTCCTCCCTCCCTCCGGTGCATGCCAGCACACATAGCTAATTTCCTCCCTCCCTCCCTCCGTCCCTCCCTCCCTCCCTCCCTCCCTCCCTCCCTCTTTTTGTAGAAAAGAGGTTTTGCCACATGGCCCAGGCTATTCTTGAACTCCTGAGCTCAAGTGATCCACCTGCCTCAGCCTCCCAAAGTGCTGGCACAGGCATGAGCCACTGTGCCTGGGCTATTTTTCTTTTGTAATTAAAAAAATGTCTTTGAGAGAATGGGTCTCACTCTGTCACCCAGGCTGGAGTGCAGTGGTATGATCATAGCTTACTGCAGTCTTGAACTGCTGGGCTCAAGCAATCTTCCCACCTCAACCTCTTGAGTGGGCTGGCACTACAGGCACGTGCTACCACGCCTAGCTAATTGCTTTTAGTTTTTGTGGAGACAGGGTCTTGCTATGTTGCTCCGGCTGATCTCCAACTCCTAGCCTCAAGTGAAACTTCTGCCTGGACCTCCCAAAGTGCTAAGACTACAAATGTAAGTCACTGTGCCTGGCCTGTGAATGTGTTTTCATTCATCTTGCATAAATACCTATGAGTGAGATTGCTGGGCCATATGGTAACTCAGGATTTAACTTTCTAAGAAGATTAAGGTTTTTGCAGCTTGCACCCACCAGGAGCAAATGAAGGTTCCAGTGGCTCTGCTCCTCATCAATACTGAACAGCAGGAGTCTGTTGTTTTGTTTTAGTTTTAACCATTCTAATAGATTCTAATAGGTGAGTGGCCATGGCTCATTTGGATTAATTTTCATTTATCTTATCGTGAGTGATACCGAGCATCTTTACGAGTGCTTATTTGCTGTCCAGTTCTTTGGAGAAGTGCCTACTCAAAGCTTTTGCACATTCTGAAAAATTGGATTATTTATTTTCTTTGGGTTTATTTGTTTGTTTTGCTTTTTTGTGAGAGACTCTCTGTCGCCCAAGCTGGAGTGCAATGGCACAATCACGGCTCACTGCAAGCTCCACCGCCTGGGTTCAAGCGACTCTCCTGCCTCAGCCTCCCGAGTAGCTGGGATTACGGGCGCCCGCCACCATGCCTGGCTAATTTTTATATTTTTAGTAGAGACGGGGCTTTTCCATGTTGGCCAGGCTGGTCTCAAACTCCTGACCTTAAGCGATCTGCCTGCCTTGGCCTCCCAAAGTGCTGGGATTACAGGCATGAGCCACTGTGCTGGGCCTCTTTTTTGTTTTTGTTTTTGTTTTTTGAGACAGGGTCTTACTCTGTAGCCCAGGCTGGAGAGCAGCAGCAAATCTGGGCTTGCTGAAGTCTCAGCCTCCCAGGCTCAGGCGATCCTCCTGCCTCAACCCCACAAGTAGCTAAGACTACAGGCACACACCACCACACCCAGCTAATTTTTATATTTTTAGTAGAGATGCAGTTTTGCCATGTTGGCCAGGCTGGTCTCGAACTCCTGACCTCAAGTAAGCCGCCTGTCTCAGCATGCCAAAGTGATTGGATTACAGGTATAAGCCACCGCACCTGTCTGAGATTCAATTTTCTTTTTTTTTTTTTTTGAGACGGAGTTTCGCTCTTGTTACCCAGGCTGGAGTGCAATGGCACGATCTCAGCTCACCGCAGCCTCCGCCTCCTGGGTTCAGGCAATTCTCCTGCCTCAGCCTCCTGAGTAGCTGGGATTACAGGCACGCACCACCATGCCCAGCTAATTTTTTGTATTTTTAGTAGAGACGGGGTTTCACCATGTTGACCAGGATGGTCTCGATCTCTTGACCTTGCGATCCACCCGCCTCGGCCTCCCAAAGTGCTGGGATTACAGGCTTGAGCCACCGTGCCCGGCCCGAGATTCAATTTTCTAATAACCTCCACCACCTCTTTTCATTTAAGAGTTGGCCAGGAGTGGTAGCTCACGCTTCTAATCCCAGCACTTTTGAGAGGTTGAGGAAGGTGGATCATGAGGTCAGGAGTTCAAGGCCAGGCTGACCAAAATGGTGAAACCCCCGTTCCTACTAAAAATACAAAAATTAGCTGGGTGTGGTGACACACGCCTATAATCCCAGCTACTCAGGAGGCTGAGGCAGGAGAATCACTTGAACCCAGGAGGCAGAGGCAGTGAGCCGAGATCTCACCACTGGACTCCAGCCTGGTGACAGAGCAAGACTTCATCCCCCACCAAAAAAAAAAAAAAAAAGAGTGGAAATAGGTTTCGGCTATCTGAACATCAAAGACCCCGAACAAGAGCAACCCTTTACCTTTAACATGTTTGTATTTGCTCATCTCTTGCTGTAAAGAATCCAATGGGAAGGGGCAGAGCTCCTCTACTCGGATGATGGCAAAGTCGTGCTTCTTGGCCCCCAGAGATTCTCTTTGCTTCATCAGGGAGTAGAAATGTTTGCCAGAGCAGAACACAAGGGTCTTAACCCTGTTGGATAGAAAAGGAACAGCAGGGTGGAGGAGAAATTTTTCAAGGTAAGAATTGTGTCAGAATAAAGGGGAGACTACAGATTTAAAGGTCTGGCAAACAAGGCAGGGGGAGCTCTGCAGCTGGGTTCAGTCACTGGCTATTCCTGGAGATCCTTCTTCAGCAACGTATGCCTCCAAAGTCCACTCTCCCACCCACACTTAACTCCCACTCCACTGACTTAAAGGACTTACTTATATTAGGATAGAGTAGGCTGGGCGCGGTGGCTCATGCCTGTAATCCCAGCACTTTGGGAGGCTGAGGCGGACAGATCACCTGAGGTGAGGAGTTCAAGACCAGCCTGGCCAACCTGGTGAAACCCCATCTCTACTAAAAATACAAAAATTAGCAGGGCATGGTGGTAGGTGCCTGTAATCCCAGCTACTCGAGAGGCTGAGGTATGAGAATTGCTTGAACCCAGGAGGCGGAGGTTGTAGTGAACCAAGATCGCACCAGTGCATTCCGGCCTGGGCAAAAGAACCAAACTCAGTCTCAAAAATAAAAAAATTAAATAAAAATACGATAGAGGAGATCTGTGCCACTTGAGATCTCTTAATGCGAACTACTTTTCCCACTAATTAAAATTCTACCACAGAGTATGAAACAGATATACATATCTTACTTTTTTGGATCTACAGATGAATCCCCAATGACCGGGTTAAATGTTGTTCCTGGTGCCATTTCTTGAAGAGCTGACACAGCTGCCTATGAGAGAGAAGAGGCCACACATCCAGCAAGCAACAGATAGAAGTGACACTGTCACTAACGCGGGTCGCTACCAAACATAAGTGTCAAAGTTCTGGCCTAGCACTGCAAGGAAGCACATATACTAACAGACACAGCACCTTGTCAAAAAATATCAGTTCTGTACACTTCAGAGTAGAACTAGGTTTCTGAGGTTGCATAAAATAGCCTTTTGGAATCTCAACACTTTGGGAGGCCAAGGCAAGAGAATCGCTTGAGGCCAGGAATTCAAGACCAGCCTGGGCAACATAGTGAGACTCCCTTCAAAACCCCTACTCCACCCTCCCCATTGCTGCCCTGTCTCTATTTAAAAAACAAACAAACAAACAAAACAACAGGCCAGGTGTGGTGGTTCACACCTGCAATCCCAGCACTTTGGAAGGCTGAGGTGTGCAGATCACCGGAGATCAGGCGTTCGAGACCAGCCTGGCCTACATAGTGAAACCATGTCTCTACAAAAATACAAAAATTAGACGGACATCATGGTGAGTGTCTGTAATTCCAGTTACTCGGGAGGCTGAGCTGGAGAATTGCTTGAACTGGGAAGGCAGAGGTTACAGTGAGCCAAGATCGTGCCATTGCACTCCAACCTGGGCAACAGAACAAGACTCCATCTCAAACAAAACAAAACAAAACTGGCCAGTTACAGTACTCCAGTTTGTGATTCTAGCACTTTGGGAGGCTGAGGCAGGTAGATCACTTGAGCTCACAAGTTTGAGACCAGCTTGAGCAAGACGGTAAACCCTATCTCTACAAAAATATATGAAAATTAGCTGGGTGTGGTGGCACGTGCTTGTAGTCCCAGCTACTCAGGAGGCTGAGGTGGGAGGATAGCTTGAATCATGGGAGGTGGAGGTTGCAGTGAGCCATGATCAAACCACTGCACTCCAGCCTGGGCAACAGAGTCTGACTTTGTCTCAATAAAATAGAAAAAGGCTGGGTGTGGTAGCTCACACCAGTAATCCCAGCAGTTTGGGAGGCCAAGACGGGAGGATTGCCTGAGGTCAGGAGCTTGAGACCAGTCTGACCAAAATGATGAAACTCTGTCTCTATTAAAAATATGAAAATTAGCTGGCCGTGGTGGTGTGTGCCTGTAATCCCAGCCACTCAGGAGGCTGGGACAGGAGAACTGCTTGAACCCAGGAGGTGGAGGTTACAGTAAGCCAAGATTGTGCCATTGAACTACAGCCTGGGACATAAGAAACTCTGCCTCAAGAGAAAGAAAAAGTACAAAAGATTGCCTTTTGTACTTGTCTTGGCAGCATATATACTAAAATTAGAACACCACAGAGGAGGTGAGCACGGCCGCTGCAGAAGGATGACAAGAAAAACTTAAAAATATATTTTTAAAAAGATGATTACCTTTTGCCTGGTGCCACAATATAATTTTAAGAATCAGGTGGCGGCCGGGCGCGGTGGCTCAAGCCTGTAATCCCAGCACTTTGGGAGGCCGAGGCGGGTGGATCACGAGGTCAAGAGATCGAGACCATCCTGGTCAACATGGTGAAACCCCGTCTCTACTAAAGGTGCAAAAAATTAGCTGGGCATGGCGGCGCGTGCCTGTAATCCCAGCTACTCGGGAGGCTGAGGCAGGAGAATTGCCTGAACCCAGGAGGCGGAGGTTGCAGTGAGCCGAGATCGCGCCATTGCACTCCAGCCTGGGTAACAAGAGCGAAACTCCGTCTCAAAAAAAAAAAAAAAAATACAAAAATTAGCCAGGCGTGGTGGCACACACTTGTAATCCCAGCTACTCAGGAGGCTGAGGCAGGAGAATTACTTGAAACCAGGAAATGGAGGTTGCAGTAATGGAGTTCGAGATCATGCCATTGTACTCCAGCCTGGATGATAGAGCAAAACTCTGTCTCAAAAAAAAAAAAAAAAAAAAATACTGGGTATGGTGTTGCGCACCTGTAGTCCCAGCTACTCCAGAGGCTGAGGCCTCGCTTAAACTCAGAAGGCAGAGGTTACAGTGAGCCAAGATTATGCTGCTGCATGCTAGCCTAGGCAACAAACTGAGACTCTGTCTCAAAAAAAAAAAAAAAAAAAAAAAAGCCCCATCAGAAAACTGATGCTAAAGGCATTGCATTAGCTCTTCCTAAATGTTCAGTGATGCTTCCAGGCTTATGAGGTCACCTCGAAATATATAAGGTTGTTTGGGAAATATTGGGTAAGAAAGAACCAGTAAATGAACCATAAATGAACAGATGCTATTGGTGAGACTACTTGAAATCCATTTCCTGCTATTGACTAGATACTGACTCCCAGGGCCCGGCTAGGTTAGGTCAAGTAAGGTACCTGGTGTAAAAAGTTTAAGGAGGCACTGATTTTAGGGCTGTTAAAGTATCGCCCCCAAGAATGAGTACCTCCCTATTCCCCTCTGAATGCTAAAAACTGCTTAAAACAACAAGGCCAGGCATGGCGGCTCATACCCATAATCCCAGCACTTTGGGAGGCTGAGGCAGCTCGATCACTTGACGCCAGGAGTTCGAAACCAGCCTGGCTATCATGGCGAAACCCCATCTCTAATAAAAATACAAAAATTAGCTGAGCATGGTGGTGTGCTCTTGCATGTAATCCCAGCTACTTGGGAGGTGGAGGCAGGAGAATCACTTAAACCCAGGAGTCAGAGGTTGCAGTGAGCCCAGATTGCACCACTGCACTCCAGCCTGGCTGACAGAGCAAGACAGTGTCTCACAAAAATAAAAAAGGGCCAGGTGCAGTGGCTCACACCTGTAATCCCAGCACTTGGGGAGGCTGAAGTGGGTGGATCACCTGAGGTCTAGAGTTCAAGACCAATCTGACCAACCTGGAGAAACCCCGTCTCTACTAAAAATACAAAAATTAGCCGAGTGTGGTGGTGTGCGCCTGTAGTCCCAGCTTACTCGGGAGGCTGAGGCAGGAGAATTACTTGAACCGGGGAGGCGGAGGTTACGGTGAGCCGAGATCGCGCCACTGCACCCCAGCCTGGGCAACAAGAGCGAGAATTCATCTCAAAAAAAAAAAAAAAAAAAAAGAAAGCAGCAAAGTCAGTTGAAACTAAAAAGGTGTTCCTGTAATTTAAATATAATAGATATGGAAAATAGAAAAGAAAAGGAGTGCAAACAATGAGAAAAGGAGGAAGGCTTATTCATCAGTTTCTTCTACTTACAGGGAGTCTGAGTAACATCTTAGGAGAAGCAACAATGAGCGGCTTTCTGAAGCTCCGGACCATCTGCCTTCTCAGCACGTGGAAGTACTGCGCGGGGGTTGTTGGGTGAACCACAAACATGTTCACCGTGTCTCCATCCACCCCCTCTTCCACACTGTCACACATCTGGGAGAGAAATGGCAGGAAAGAAGAACGTTCAGGTCATCTATTTCAGTCACAGTCACAATGGGACAGCCAAAGAGAAACATGGATGCTCTCAATTGTAGCAGAAAAGCCATTTCCCAACATCACAGAAATATGACAGCAGGTAAATCTAGGAACTGTGAAGTATTATCCAAAGGAGAGTTCTGATGGCTTTCTCCACGGGCCCAATTCTGGGTCATCTAAGATAACTGTTCCCAAACATAGCTGATAGCAAGAATCATCTGGAAAGGATTTAAAAAAAAAAAACCAACATATTCTGATTACTGTAGGGCTAAGATAGGGGAAGGAAGCACTATCAGAACCTCACTTTCCTAAGGAAATAATCAAAATCATTGTGTGTGTGTGTGTGTGTGTGTGTCTGTGTGTCTGTGTGTCTGTGTGGTTTTGTTGTTGTTGTCTGTGTGGTTTTGTTGTTGTTGTTGTTGTTGTTGTTTTTGAAACAGTCTTGCTCTGTCACCAGGCTAGAGTGCAGTGGCGTGATCTTGGCTCAATGCAACCTCCGTCTCCCGGATTCAAGTGAGTCTTGACTCAACCTTCCAAGTAGCTGGGACTACAGGTGTGTGCCACCATGCCCAGCTAATTTTTGTATTTTTAGTAGACACGAGGTTTCACCATGTTGGCCAGGATGATCTCAATCTTTTGACTTTGTGATCCGCCCACCTCAGCCTACCAAAGTGCTGGGATTAAAGTCATGTGCCACCACACCTGGTCGTGTGTGTGTGTGTGTGTGTGTGTGTGTGTGTGTGTGTGTGTGTAAGACAAAAACAAAATAAAAAGCAGCTAATAGAAAAGGTTGAAAAATTGAGGGCAAGGAAGTTAAAGCTCAGAAGATCCTGGTGGGACAGAAAGCCAAGGCATAACTCCTAACCCTACCCCAAAGGCAATGGAAAGAAAGAAAGAGAGTTGACAAAATCTGGAGAATTCTTTTTGTTGTGTTGTGAAGTCTCACTCTCTCGCCCAGGCTGGAGTGCAGTGGTGCAATCATAGCACACTGCAACCTCAAACCATGGACTCAAAGCAATCCTCCCACCCAAGCCTCCTGAGTAGCTAGGACTATAGGTGCCTGCTACCACACCTGACTAATTTTTAAATTTTTGTAGAGATAGGGTCTCGTTTTGGTGCCCAGGCTGGTCTCAAACTCCTGGGTTCAAGCTATCCTACTGCCTCAGCCTCCCAAAGTGCTGGGATTATAGGCATGAGCAACTGTGCCTGGCCTCAATCATGATAATCTTCCTTTTTTATTTTTTTGAGATGGAGTCTTGCTCTGTTGCCCAGGCTTGAGTGCAGTGGCGTGATCTCAGCTTACTGCAACATCCACTTCCTGGGTTAAAGCAATTCTCTGCTTCAGCCTCCCAAGTGGCTGAGATTACAGGCACCCACCATCATGCCCGGCTAATTTTTTGTATTGTTCGTAGAAACAGGGTTTCACCATCTTGGCCAGGCTGGTCTGGAACTCTTGACTTAGTGATCTGCCTTGGCATCCCAAAGTGCTGGGATTAGTCATGAGCCACTGCACCAGCGTATTTTCCCTTTGTATACTCCCTGATTCTCCTGAACCTTCACTCCAACCCATAAACCTGCTTAATCCCCACTTTCTCCCTGTTCCACGTCTGCTGGGAATGTAGCTGGAGGCAACATAGAATCACACCAATGGTCTCACTTTAAAATCCTGACCAAGAATCTCAAGTGGACCCTTAACACTCTTAGACTCTTTTTTTTGAAAGGGAGTTTCGCTCTTGTTACCCAGGCTGGAGTGCAATGGCACGATCTCGGCTCACCGCAACCTCCGCCTCCTGGGTTCAGGCGATTCTCCTGCCTCAGCCTCCTGAGTAGCTGGGATTACAGGCACGCGCCACCATGCCCAGCTAATTTTTTGTATTTTTAGTAGAGACGGGGTTTCACCATGTTGACCAGGATGGTCTCGATCTCTTGACCTCGTGATCTACCCGCCTCAGCCTCCCAAAGTGCTGGGATTATAGGCTTGAGCCACCGTGCCCGGCCTAACACTCTTAGGCTCTTAAACTCTGTTTCCCTAATTCACTCATTCTCCTTTTTTCCCAGGTGACTAATTCACACCTTTAAACTCAGGACCTCCTCCTCCATCACCAGTCTCAACTAATGACTAAGAGCATGTCCTCACACACTGTCACCTGCACCCATCTTCTCTGCCTTCCATCCATTGCCACCAACCATGCTCCTGTCTATAGTTAATTAATCCATCATGTACTAGAGCCCGTCCCATCTTACCCATGCGAGGAAATCACTCAGTTATTCTATCCTCATGCCTGTATCACCATTCTCTTCTTCGCTGCCGGATCATGCCTATCACCAAACAGACAGGCCTTATTTCCTATCTTTAACACAAAACAAAGGCCAGGCGCTGTGGCTCACACCTGTAATCTCAGCACTTTGGGAGGCCAAGGCAGGAGGATCACTTGAGGTCAGGGGTTCAAGACCAGCCTGACCAACATGGTGAAACCCTGTCTCTACTAAAAATAGTATCAAAACAGGGCATCATGGCATGCACCTGTAATCCCAGCTAATCAGGAGGCTGAGGCAAGAGAACTGCTTGAACCTGGGAGGCAGAGGTTCAGAGAGCTAAGATTGTGCCATTGCACTCCAGCCTGGGTGACAGAGCAAGATACCATCTCAACACACACACACACACACACACACACACACACACACACACACAAACTCTTGAAACAAATTTCTCCACCAAATACTGTCCCATTTTCCATTTTCTTGTTCTATTTACAGAAATACTCCTCAAAAGAGTTAAGTTGACTTTCCTCCCTTTTTTTTTTTTTTTCTGAGGCAGGCTTTGGCTCTCTTGCCCAGGCTGGAATGCAGTGGTGCAATCCCAGCTGACTGCAACCTCCACCTCCCAGGCTCAGGTGATCCTCCCAACGCAGCCTCCCAAGTAGCTGGGATTACAAGTGTGCACCACCACACCCAGCTAATTTTTAAATTTTTATTTTTAGCAGAGAAGGGGT